GTTATTTTTCCATTCGCAATTGTATAATTCGTTAGCCTTTTTCTCTGCAATATTTGAAGTAAAATGTTTGTAAATTGTATAAATAAGTGTATAACACGAAGATATATATTTTTGCATATGTATATACAATTTTCTCACGCTTTATACAAAACAGAAACATAATTTATACACTTCTGTATATAAAGCGAGAGAGACGAGCGAGAATAGAGAGTGGCGAGCGAGATATTTGGGAGAGACGCCTGGCAAACTTTAGCTAACGTTTGCTATGGAGCACAATTAAATCAAACCCTAGCTACTCCATTTATTTTAGATTATTAGTTTGCTATTATATACAATTTTTTCCATTTTTAAATCTATAAACTAAACCAAATCAATAAAATTCAGGTTTTTTAATTTCAGATTATTTTGGGTTTTTTGGATTTTTTGGGTTTTTGGATTTTCCTGCAAAATATTCATACAAATATATAATTACTTGTACTTCAAATATTTATTTAGTCCTACCAAAATACAACTATCTAAGTTGTTTCTTAAGAATACAACACAAAATGGCACTAAAATATCCCAAAATATATATAATAATAATCAAATTATGTAAAAAACAAATATTGCAAATTAACAAGCCATAATGAAAATGATCATAATTTAAAGAGCAACTTTCACATATAGCAAACAAAAAAAATCATATTTGTTTGTATAACAATAGTTTGCACAATTGCGCTCATAACAAATTTTATATTGCTATGGAACTTTTGATTTGTATAATTCGTTGTTACATCCAATTTTATACAAATTGTTCAGTTTTATATAAGTTCATCTATACATTGTAATTTGTATAATAAGATTTGTATTTGTATAATTATAAGTGAACAGAATGAAAATATATGTATTTGTATTTGTCTATACATTTTTTTCTTGCTTTATACAAACAAAACACATTATACATTTGTATACCAAATGGGTAATTGTATACCGAAAATGAATGATTGTGTACCGAATCAGATGACAAAAAAATGAGATGTTTGCTGCGACTTACAAATAAAATAAACTATGACTATAACATTTAATTTGAATTAATATTTTGTTATTTCATACAATTTTCTCTAATTTAAAAGTACTAAATTATGCTAATTAAGTTTGATAAGTATTATTAAAGGAAATTAAAATTAGATTATGTATTTGTAAAATTAATTTTCTTTTTGCATTCGTATTAATTTGATTTTGATTTACGTTTTATTATAATTACCAACATTTGTGGACTATAATCTTTATGAAACCATCCAAAAATTTTAAGTTTCAAATTTGAAATAATATATTAAAAGATAAAAACTATGAAAAAGTATAAGAGATATTTAAAATTAAATCAAAATAAATATTTTTTTTGTATAAAATAAAATTTTAAAATTATATATACAATGTCGCTTTGGTTTGGTCTTGAGTTGATTTTTTTTAATTAAAATCAAACCAACCCAAATATAATTAGATTTTTTTTCAACACCAAACAAAGTCAAACCAATCACTAATCAATTTTTTTTTCGAGTTCACTCAATTTGCGGATTGTTTCGAGTGAATAATTGCACTTTATAGCTATAGTTTTGTTTGTTATGGAGGTTGCGATTTGTATATTCATGTCTTTTTGTATATTTTACTTACATATAGGATAAATATATACAAATACAATATTTATGCATTTATGATTTTTTCATAAATGATATATACAAATAGTTAGGGTAAACGTATAAAAAATATGGATTTATACAATCCTTCAATGAAGATTGTGAGGAATAGTTTCTTAGTATTTTTTTTAAAGTTATTCTAACTATGAGACCAGAAAAGGATTCGTATTATCCCATTAAATGATGCATCAACCGTCCAAAAAAGGCAAAATTAATGAACAAGGGATGTGATTAAAAAAATAAAGCATCAGGGAATAGTATTATTGTACTGTAACTTTTTGAGTTGATTTTCAAGTAGGGGGTGCTAAGGAATTCCAAGTCTTCTCTACTATTACTAAAAGGTAATGGTAGTCCATTATCTTCGTTGTGTTTTTCTACAACAACTTTTCAAACATTTGAATTATATTTCTTCCTTTATTTGATTCAAGTAAAAGAAGAAGTTGAAACTTTTTCATATAATTAAGACAACGTTTAGTCAAATGGAAAAAAGAGCTTCATACAAGTTAAACCAAAGACTATGGTACATACTTTTAGGAGAAATACTTTAAAATTTCCTTAAACCATTCATTTATAATTTTAATTAATATTTAAATAATGAAATGCTATTCAGGTAAATTTCATAGACGTTCACTAAATTACTTTTTGTACCACCAAAATCACAAAATTAATTTTTGTAACAGTAGTCATCAAACTATGTGTTAATTTCGTAGAACGGTGTGGAAAATTTGAGATTACATCAGTTACTATTTTGTTAGCAATAGAGTTTCAGATGATGTAAGAGAAATATTTTGATAACCCGGATTTCTATTTCTCAATGATATTCCACGATCAAAATAATTGGCTGAATCCTGTGAAACCATTTCATAGAAGTTCTAGGCGAGGTGCGTGTGTGAGTATGTTTTAATTTGTTAGTCTGTTTTCTTTTTTAAATTTCATCACTTATTTTTCTAGATTAATTTAACTTGAGTCTGGAGTTTATTACAATTTTTTTTTAAAGATAGATATCATGTTTACCATCTACAAACACTCAATTCTTTTTGGCTTATCTTGTGAGACTACATTGAATATATTATTGTTATTGTGTGAGAAACTGGGAGTCATGAAACTCCATTAGAAAACCATTGTTGTGAATTATCTGTGGGAATTTTTGTTGACACGATGGAAGATTACACCTGAGAAATTTGTCCATTTTCTTTAATTTGAGTATGCAAAAGATGAAGTTTATAGATATAGGATTGAGGAGAACGTGATGCTAGTTTGTTTTTATGATCGTGGTGTTCGAGCTATTTTTTGCACACCTTGACTAATTTCACCAAAAAGTTGCCGCTTCCTACTAGCAATAGATATCAGTAATTATGTCAATCAAGAATAGGACAGATAAGAAGAATCACCTAGTATATGTTTTGTCTTTGCTGTATTTTGAACCTGAGTTTTTTTTGTATCCGCTGAGTTTTAGAGCAAATTGTTTAAGAAATTACAACAAAAGGACACTATAAAATTTTCTTTCTCCATCACTTATGCGTCAAATTTATAGGTCTTACAAGAAAGATGATATTCATATATCCAAATTAGAGACGATAAGAGGTCTGTTTCCAGTTCCAGTCTGTACCACAAATTAACTCCACTAATCATGTAGTAGTACTATTTATTACTCCATCAACCATTAACATAATTAAACAAAAACTATTGTGTAGTAGTATACAACAGAAGGCCAAAAATTAGTTACTTAAAGCCCAAAAACAAACAAACATGCATGGCCTGTAGCTAGCAGTCCCCCAAAGGAGAACAAGAAAATGACTAGTTAGTGGAACTCCATGACTTGTCAAAAAATAGGGAGCCAGCCTCATTTGTAAAAAGCATAAACTGGGGCTATTGTGATCAAACGGGTCCCAACTCCCAACTTTTGTGACCCGAAAAAAGAAACAAAAGACAAAGCCCTAGTCCACAATAATGAAAACCTTCTACCCAAAACCCAAGTCATGGAATCCACCCTTACATTAAATCTAAATTTAACACTGCCCTTTAAATAGCTGAAAATTAGCTTCTGAAATCTTGAAGTTCTTCTCTATGCAACTAGACAATTGTCTTATTTATGGCTATTGATAAGCTTCATTATAGACAAACGTATGTTGTTCGCGACTTGTTCTGTTGCCATGTTCAACTGATGATCCATCTGTTTCAATAAAATAAATTCAAATTAGCAAAAAATTAACACAATAATTTGAGTATCTAATAGTTCGATGAATTTGTTAGTACCTGAGCAACAATAGTTATGTGTGTTGTATCATAACCAAATGGAATGACACTGCTACTAGTAATAGTGAGTTGAAACATTTCTACTTGGCTGAATATTTCCTTTATTATTCCCGCTTGCTTTTTGCAACAAACTCTAATCAACACATTTCCATCTGAAACTCTAACGTCAATTTCTGGAACAACTGATTTGTTGGAGTTTTCATTACAAGTTGAAAAATTATCATAATTTGAGTGCAACCGACTTCTCTTAACTGGTTGCTTGTTAGCTTCTTCGTCTAGCCTTTTTACTTGTTCTTCAAGTTGTTTTATATATGTTATCGCATCTCCAAGTATTGATGCCTTGTCCAACTGTTACAGCTCAACAAAAAACATAATCAATCTCAAGTAAACATATTATTTTAGAATTTTATGTACAATATTTTCATATACAAAGTGGAGAGAAGATGTGAAGCCCTTAATTTATTAGATTCTTTTCTTAAAAAAATGAAATCACACTACGTATCTCAAGATTTTGCAGTAGCCACAAAATTAAATCTCATTATATAAAACTCGCGTTGATCATGCTGCTAGATTTATTTAATTAAGCTTATCTAAAACTAGATACATTCTATATTTTCTATTGACTTATAAATCTCTAACAAGAGCTAAAAGACTCCTACAAATATAGGGCTCAAATCAAATGTACTGACATGACTAAAAGTTTGTTGCTAATTACTATCATATATAGATTTTGTTCTTCATTTTGTCTTATTTGTGGTAAAGATACTTCCAAAAAAGGACGAGCATGACTAAAGAGATTTAGAAAAAGAAGAAGTAGTACCTTCTTTAGGTTAGGGATGAGGGTGGACAGAGTTACGAAATACTGAGTGAGTCGTTCTCTTCTCTTTCTTTCAGCCAAAACGTGGTCTTGAGCCTGTAAAGGCGTTCTACTATAATTCATCTTCTTCGACTGACCAGCACCAAATCCCATGGCCTGGAATAGTTGCTTACTATCATCGTAATCAGAATCAGAAGAAGTATTTGATGAGGAGAAATTAATAGTAGTTCCTGATGGAACCTCAGTCTTAAGAGACGATGTATTCAAATTTTTAAAGTAGTTTTGGGCATTAGTAGTTGTAGGAGTGGCTGATGGCGAATTGGAGTTGGAAAAAGAAATAACACTGGGAGACGAACAAGGCGGAGAGGTACTAGTATTTTGGGTAATTGAACTGCACAAGGCTGGCTTCTCCTCAAATATTTCACCAATTTGAGAAACTTGAATATTATCCGAGAATGCAAAATCATCAAATGTCTGATCAATGTATTGAAGTTCGTTCATATTCATAACATCCTGTATTTGTCAAATAAAAATGTTATGTATCTATAAAAATTCACGCGAAATAAAAGGACAAGGTATTAATACATGTTCATATATATATATATATTATTTTGTCTTACCATTTCAGACCACCATGTAGCTGATGAAATATCCATTGTTGAGGAGATAGATGTATTAGATAAAATAAATAAATTCCAAAATCACAATTAGTATATTTGAGGAACACTGATTAAGCGGCGGAATGAAAACTTTAATTTGAGGGGATCCAAAAATGGACGCTTTTGGTTTCAGATGTTGTCTGTCTGTCTCTCTGTCAAATTTCTTGTATGTTTTATACTTATACTTGCTTCAATTATTGTGTTGACCGGAAACAAAGTAAAAGATAAGAGGAAATAGATTGAAAATCAATTTAATTATTGTGTTCTCACTGTCTATGATTATTGCACATAAAAATATTACAAGTAAAAGGGCACGTGTGAAAAAGGAAGCTTCAATTTTCTCTCTCTTAATTCAATTAACAAATCAATGGAAATAAAATATTTCATTTTCACTAATTATTCATTTATTTTTTAATTAATTGACTAATCTATCAACGAAAGTGAGTTTATCAATTTACTCATAACATCAATTATAAAGTGAATGAATTAAAAAATTTTAATTTTTAATTTTTTTCAAAATAATTAATTAGAGATAAATAAAAAAAAATTATAAAAGAAAAGTCAAATTTATATATGTATAATAATTAGGGAATCCGTATTAACTTTTTGACCACACTCGTCCCTTAACCTAACCGGGATTTACCCACCCACGTATTTTGTTGGCAGTAGCGGTTCATTTTTGAACCCGGGTATTTTGCGCGTACCCGTGTGAATACACTAGTTCCCTGTTCTTTAAACAATTTGTCACCTTCAATCCCTCCGTATTTACTTATTTATATAAATTTGTATTTATAAAAAAAATATAAATAATTATTTGTTCTATATCCTAATTATTAGTCGAAATTATTTTAATATATAATTTCTCTTTTAATTTTTTTCATTAGACAAGTAAATGTGAATATAATCCTTTTTTAACATAGTGAAAAAATAAAAATAGGAAGGATGGAGTATCGATAATTTTTCTAATGCATTTTTAGTTGTAGTCTATCTTTAAAAATATATTTTTATATATTGAAAAATAATTTACATTCATTAACAAACAATACCCACACAAGTATTTATAGTTTGTTTTATAAATTTTTAAGCATGAACTTTTTTTTGGTTATCATCAAGGTTGTTTTGGATCAACTTAATGCTTACTTTAATTGATTTTACAAAATATGTGTTATCTTCCCCTAATATAGTCTGTAATTATTGCATTTACCAACACTTTTTTGCACATTAGAGTTAATGAAAATCATGATACGAAATTGAAGGTTTGTTTGAACATGCGATATGAAATTTTATATTTTTTCATAAATATAAAAATCTCATAAATTGTAAAATTATAAAGTATTCTAATTATTTATTCAATTTTATCAAATAAATAAAAATTTATAAAACTGCATAATAAAGTATTATAAAGTTATCTGTTATCCACTTAATTAATTGTTCCATTTAACTTTAATTGATATAATTTTAATTAATTAAAAAATTGAACATAAATTATAGTGTACTTATCTTTAAGATAATCCTCTCACATAGTACGACCAATCTTCTCACGTTAAACTTGTATTTCTCTATCATATGATTGAGAAGACAAATTAACATTGTTACTTTGAGGTATTTGTTGGTCAATATCATTCACAATTCTATTTTCATGCTCATAGACCATAAATATTTCATCATCTATATAGTATTATCGCAAATAATTATGTAACATGTATGAGTTATGACAATTTAATATCACTCGTCTGGCAATATCATATGGTTCTGCCTTATGTACTTGTGTACAATTACACATTTCAATGCATTAATTTTGTGTTAAAATCAAATATATTGTAGTAGTGATTATCAAACATATATCGCCAATTTTATCCTTTATCATATTAAATTGGTCGAAACGTTTTATATGTAGCCGAAAGAGAATTCTTTTAATTATGGAAAGACAAAAAAGTATTACTCCTTACGTTTGTATTTACATTCATGACCAAATCAATTCTTACTTTATCATTTATATTCACCAAATTGAAAGCAATAAAGTTTTTTTTTAATTTTGGTGATCAAGATAATATATTTTAAAAGGTAATGATTTGATTATTAATTTTATTTACATATGAAAGAAATATTTTATAATTAAATATAACTAATAGCGATTGTTTTAACAAAATATAAACTTGTGGTCAACCTTTCTATTTAAAAAATCCTATATCATGATATGAAATTCCCACATCATGATTTTTGGACAATATGATATTTCATCTCATGAAGTGAAATCATGAGATAGGATCAGCGAAAAGTTATATATCCAAACACTGATTTCATCTCAAAGTTTCATATTATAATATAATATTACATGACCAGACGCCTACTTGATTTAACTCAACTATGTAAATATAAAGGGCTACCATCTTAAAAAGATTTTCTTGTAAGAATAATTTCTTCTTATGGCCCAAGTAATTTAATAAATAGTATTTACTAAAAAATAAATCGCGTGTATACATTGATTACTTGATGGGCATATTAGATATGTTATAATCACTATAAATTGGTCTTCCCTCCACTTATTAGGGATACCACATATTTTTCTACATTATTTCATCGCCGAAGGCTGTGGTAACATCACTACAACAAAAATGATCATTAGCGGCAATTAATTCTTAATTGCCGCTATACTCTTTGTATATGTCCTAAAGCCTTTTAGCGACATCGGTTCAATGACACTTAGCTAATACCGGTAAAGACTTTAACACTCTTTATTAATATCAATATTTAATGTCGCTAAAAGTTATTTTTGTTGTATTGCATAAAGCTTGGACAAGGAGGTAGAAACCAATTAATGACTAAGTTTCACTTTTCTCTATGATGATGTCTTTCACATCAAGTATACACCGTTAATGATCTCCGCGTAGCATTATCATATTTAAGATCCTATATTATGTATTAAAATATTTAATTTTATATTTCTTTTTTTTAAAGCTTTTTGTTCGATTAAAACATATCACATAAAATAAAATGAAGAAATCAGGTGCTAAAAGAAAATACTCCTCTGTCCTTAATTATTTGTCCATTTTTAAATTAATAGATTTATAAAAAAAATAATTATTGACACAATGAATTTAGCATTATATTCTTATTAATTATGAAGTGAATAAATTAATTTAAAATATAAGAGATAATAATATTTATTTTTTTTAATTTATCAAAATAGACAAGTTATTAGGTACAGCTAAAAAATAGAAGTGAGTAAATAATCAGGGAGAAAGGAGCATTATTAAAATGATTAGTGGGTCATTGAATTCTTTTCTCAAAAGAAACTTTGACCTCATACCCGTTGCTTCATATTATAATAAAGGAATGGTATATTTAACACGTCATAATTAATCACCTTATTTGGTCCTCCCATGTTTAATTAAGACTTATAAAATGTTCAACTTGAAGGGGTACCATGCCACCATCCATTATCCAATCCAATTTATATTCATGAACTTCTCTGTATTTATTGTAAGCAAGGAGCTGTATTTAATTTGTGGTTATCCAATTCAATACTTATGACTTTTAAGTATCCTAATTTTTTTAATTAACAAATATTTATCAGTACATATCTTTGATTAAGTTTTACAAGTTCTCCAAATCCATGTTGCAAATTTATGAAGATTTTCCAAATCCATAGATAGACGGATAGTAACACTTAATCAAATATCCTTTAGTATTTTATAAATTGAAATGTGTGTGTTTTAACCATTTAAAGATGTAGAGTATATGCTATATTTGTACTATTTTTCAATATTTGTTAACTTCAAATCTGACTTAATTAATAATACAAATCTAACATAATACTCGATTTATTAAATGGTGAGACATTTAATAATACAGAAAATTTGAGGACATATACAAGGGGGTTGAAATTGCAAATTTTTAATTAATTAAAGTTACATGTTCTCAATTAGATATCATATGAATTAAAATTAAAATTTATTAACTGAGGGCCAAACACAACCATAAATTTATTTTCAATCTCTCGATCGTAACGCGATGGCCGGCAGGTTAAATATATATTATTATCATTATTATTATTATTTTCACTCCAAAATTATATATCTTTCGCTCGATGTGGTATTAGGAGCTGAGTATTTTATAGAGGCAAAAAAAAAAAAAAACTTAGAAAACTTTAACGTGGATCTTTTGAAGATTGTGGTCACCAACTTCATTTGAACAAGAGAGAGCTGTCGTCTGTAATTTTATTTGTAGAAAATTGAGAAAAGTTTTATTTAAAATATTGACGCCGCAATACCTATTGGTCATTAGCAATTTAGCACAACCAAAACTTAAAGTTTATTGGTATTATTAAATAATTAATCAATTAATATGCTATTTAAATGCTTTAAAAAACTAAGTTAACTACTCCTTATTCCCTTGTTTAATGTTTTTTCAATCAGATTTTCATATTGAATTAATTTATTTTGATAAATAAATATGAATTATATTTTACTTAGTTTTTCTGTATTTGTCAAATGTATGTACATCTTCAAGAATATTAACTCACAAGGATAAAAGAAAAAAATTTATATTATTTATAAATTAATTTTGTAAAATGACAATTATTAAGAATTTACTATTTTTAGTAAATATGACTAATAAATAAAAACAGATGATATAATAAATTAAACCAATTACCAGTTAATTTTAGGTTTCTCCCCAACAACATTTGTTGACGTTGGGGTGTCGTCATTGCGACTATCATCGTAATGTTGGTTTATTTATTTAACAGTTTTTTTTTTTAAGAGGTGGTTTTAGTTCACTTCTTTAATGGATTTTTAAAAAAAGTTATCACAACTGCAGTTGGTTGATAATTAAAATTCTTTATTCTGAAAATGACTGTTAATTGTCATTTTTTTCTCTAAATTAAACTCGCTTTATTATAACTATAACCGGAATTTTTGTCTTTTTGTCCCTTTTTTTTTACTTGAGTCTTAATCATAAGTTCGTTAACCCAGTTGCTTATTTATTAAAACAAATGGATAAATAATATTTATAGGGAAAATTAATGGAAAGATAAGTAATAGCGTATAGGTTAATTAGCTGTTAATCTGGTTATATTTTCCTAGATCAATTGAAATTGGTGTCAATTAACCACCGATCCGTTAGCTTATACTCTCTCTAGTCC